TAATATTTATTATATATTATATATAATGTTTATTATACATATTTTTCTGTCAATTTTTGTGTTAGGTAGGTTAATTTACAAAGGCCAAACGCACGAAATAAGTTGGAATTACCGGAAAATATGGTACACGATATGGAGCCTCGTTGCGTAAAATGGTCAAAAAAAAGGAAGTGACACAGCATGCAAAATACACTTGCTCTTTCTGTGGAAAGGATGCCATGAAGCACTCTTGCGTTGGTATCTGGTCCTGCAAACGTTGCAAGAGGACAGTGGCTGGAGGTGCCTGGGTGTTCTCTACCACAGCAGCCTTGTCTTGTAGGTCAGCAGTGAGGAGGTTACGTGAAGTCAAGTAAACACTTAAGTCACACGCACAACAAGGGTTAAAATATTTATGTATACTTAAATTAAGCAATGCTTTAGGAAAGCGAAATTTCTATACTTTTTGCAATAAAATGTAAGACAACGGCAAATTTAATATTCAATACTTCGAAGTTTCGTAATCGTTGACTCTATATTGTATTTTGTTAGCCACAATTAATGATTGCAGAATGATCATTAACATCTAATTAATAAAAATAATATCTAATTTAACTGTTAAATTATACTATATGTATCGTAGGTTAAATTATAACATACGTTGTTACATAATTTCTGATAACAATGTTGGAAGTTTTCTACTGCTTATTCCTATTTACGAGGGAGAGCCACGTTGCAGCGTATCATCCATCGTTGCATCATAATACTGTTGTTTCGTATAATAATGTCCTCCAGACCGAATTTCGGTGACGGTGGCCAGTCTTAACGTAGATTATCCATTTGTGCTGGACAGAATTATAGTGCCTGTCACTATCTATTCTCATAGTTCGATGGGACAGTAATCTAAACGACAGGAGAGACATCAGGAGCAGGACCAATGGCTTTACGTGTTTTCCGGGAGTGAAACACCGCCGACTTTCTGACTCCGGGCTGAGATTGAAAATTTATTGAAAGCAAAACCCAATACCTGATTTTGGCTCTTACTTGACTTCTTAATCAGCAATCATGCTAACGATCAATGGAGAAACGAGCGCTCGAAGTTTCGTATAGTGAGTGAGGAAACTGCTTTTACTGATTACAAATAATTCCATCTTAGTCATCCTTGTATCTACATTTTAATTGTTAATAGATGATAGATTTGGATGTCTATCACTTACCACTAAGTAGACTATGTAGTCATTTGCCATTTTTTTACAAGTGATAAAATTAAAAATTTTATACAACCGACTTCAATATAAATAAAATGAGAACATCATCAATGTCGTCGAAGTCAATTAACTTACGCATTATTAAAGATAACTCTAAAACTACTGGTCAGATCTTGATCAAATTTATATGGGACCACATGAAAACACCAGCTTTCAAATAAAATGACTAATCAAAATCAGTTCACCTCTATTATTGATCGAAGGTTCGTCTAGAGAAAAGTTCTGAGGTAACACACATAAAAAATTTGTACGTAACAAGTTATACCTCCTACAAATAATTTTATATATGTTTGTCTATGAACCACATCGAATCCTAAATCGCGCTATCAAAGTTCCGAAGTTAGAACAGTATATATAGAATAGCTCCGAACTAGAACTTGGAGCGTTGGCCGCTCCCCAGGCAGAACACCTTGCCCGGCGGGAGAATCTCCCCTTTTCCTTTCACGGCCACAGTGGTGACCACCAACATGATATGAAAACGCAACCAACAACATTCGGAATGCTACAACTTCTCAAGCCTTCGTCATTATCCTCAAGAATCCCTACCATTCATTCCCAAGTATCGTCTTCTGCAGTATTCAGTTCCTGAAAGCCAGTCCAACTTGTCTTCATCTCGACTCACCGCAGATTTATAAGGCAGACTTCTGGCACTCATCATCCAGCTCATCGTTCTAACCGGCATAACTTGTTGCAAGTGCGTAGCACGGCATGCATTACACACCGGTATATCGTTCGCACCGGCGTCACTTGCCCTTAAGCCCACAGCATGCATTCCCCACTGGCATTACGGACGCACCGGCAATCGGACTCCACTATCGACCTCACGTCTGAGCAGGAGCGTGATGTGGCGGCGCTGTCGTCGCGCCACAAGCGAACCACATCGAAGCCTAAATCGCGCTATCAAATTTCTGAAGTTAGAGCAGTATATATAGAATAGCTCCGATCTACCACTTGGAGCGTTGGCCGCTCCACGGGCAGAACACCTTGTCCGGTGGGAGATCTCCCCTTTTCCTTTCACGGCCACATATGTTTAATTTATCTATGTCGCCGTATGATCACGAAAGGAATCCATTACTCCATATTATTTTGTGATTGTCTTTAAAGGCGACAGAAGGAAATAAATCGGGTGATTGACAGCAGCGTTTTTCTAATAACAACAAAATAATAAAAACATTGAGGTTTCCAATCCACTTGATATGAGTGAAAACTATGACAAATATCCCACCATATTAGGCAATTCATGGGGACACCTATATTTTAAATTATCTAAAATTGAATTGGATGGTTGCAGTAGCATTGTCACCTCTGAGGACTCAGGTAGAATGCATCACAGTCTGTAACTATAGTATATCTTTCTTTCTATACCCTGGTGAGCAGACCACAATAGTGCAAGAACTACTATTTAGCGACAGCAATAGGAGAGGGTGGTAAGTTACCCAAACAGACTCCAAGGGATATAGGAGTAGCCTTGGGCAAAAAATATCGATATATCAAAATATCGATAACTTCTCATAATCATAGCGATATATATCGTTGATATTTTGAATCATGATATATCGATATTTATTTTAGAGTATCGAATTTGAATCAATTTCGATATATTTTAAAATGTTTTATTAATGGACAAAACATAAAACAACAAAAGAGCCACAAAAGCATTCATGTGTGGTTGTCGTTTTTTTTCGTCGTTCAAACGTCGGTAATATTAAATTTGGGTCTTATCCTTACTTCATGCGAATGATGACGATATATCGATATTTATCACGCGATATATTATATCGATACTGTTTAGAAATATCGATTCGATATATTTTTTCCCTTGCCCATCCCTATAAATGAGTCCTAATACCTAACAAATGATTTGTCTTAATGTCACGCTTGGCGGGTGTATTGACAACCGCACGTCCCGTAGCACGTTTCGCACCTTTGACGCTACTTCGTGTCGTCGAGCTGGGAATTTTACGCCTGACTTAAATGAGTATACCGATACCGCCGTCTATCGGAATCCATAAGACGCTAATCGCATACCCCATAATCACTTCTTTCAACATCCACGACACATGGCTTTACGTGGTAAAGCCATGCTGCAGCTATATTAATAGTATAGTTGTGGCACGAATGGTCGGCTCGACCGGGGAAGGATCACGTTCTCACAGAATACCAGCGTAAAATAGCAGCTTAATGCAGCAGCGTTTCATATCGTGAGTGTAGGGAACCGGAGATTCTTTTTACTAAAAAATAGGCATTCTATCTTAATCCTCACGGCTGACAAAGCATCTGCATTTTAATTCGCAAAAGAAGATAGATGTAGATGTCTATGTGTCACAGCAACCACTTTTTTATATTCTACTAAGCCAGCTCTTATCTACGATCCCACCTGATGGTAAGTGGTGATGTAGCCTAAGATGGTGAAGCGCACTGACTTAACAAAAGCCTATTCACTCTTGCCTTGAAGACACCCACACTGTAATCGGATGGAAAGATAGATGCTGGCAACTTATTCCACTCCTTTGCTGTACGCATGATGAACGACGTGGAGAACCGTTTGGTTCGAATGCGTGGTAAGTCAACAACGAAAGAATGGAGACTGGCCGAACATCTGGTTGTCCGATGGTGGAAGGGAGAGGGTGGAATTAAATTATGTAATTCCTGCGCACACTCTCCGAAATGCATCCTGTAGAAAACCGAAAGGCTGGCTACTTTACGTCTGTGTTCGAGGCTGGTTAGATTGGTTTTAACTAAATTCGGGTCACCAATAAGCCTCTTAGCACACCTTTCCATTGAGTCCAAAGCTGCTAGGTGGCATTTTGCAGCACCAGCCCATATATGGCAGCAATACTCCATGCACGACCGGACTTGCGCTTTATATAAAGTAAGCAGCCGTCCTGGCGTGAAGTATCGCCGCACTTTTGCAAGGACTCCCAGCTTCCTTGCAGCTGCTTTGGCCTTGGACTCAATGAACCGCCTGAAGTTCAAATTTGAAGATATTTCAAACCCTAACAACTGAAGGCGGTCGGTATATTTCAGTGATACATTTCGGAAAGAAGGAGCCAAGTTGAGCTGGCTCCTTTTTGCAGTGAAGAGACACGCTTGTATTTGGGAGGCGTTGAACTTCACAAAATTGGCATCGACCCGGAGGCTGCCTGTAATGTGAGATTCACACGCTCTAACATAGCTTCTCTTTCGGACTGGATTTGATCCCGACTGGTCCGAGGACTTGGTTGGTATCTCTCAACAACTGTGCTATCGTCTGCATACCCATAGATACCGGGCATAAGCAGATCATTAATATGCAGCAGGAAGAGAGTTGCGGAGAGAACGGACCCCTGAAGAACACCGGCGTTAGTCGCCATAGGATCGGATGAGCAGCCATCGACGACGACCCGGATAGAACGTTCACTCAGAAAGTCCTTTACCCATTCAATCAGACCAGGGGATAAGCCGTACGCTGGAAGCCTACCCAAAAGGCTAGTGTGCCAAACTCTGTCAAAGGCCTTCGAGACATCAAGGGAAACAGCAAGTGCTTCCCCACTGTTCTCGAGTGCCTCGCCCCATACGTGTGTGGCATATGCTAGAACAGGGATGGCGAACCTTTATGCGTATACGTGCCAATTTGCTGGAATAATATTTAATGACGTCGCAGCCGTGCCATCAAATATTCTTGACTTTGTGATCAGTGGAAAAATAATGTAAAAAAACAATATCAACTCAAAGCTCTATATTTACCAAAAATACAATTACAAGAGCAATTAAAAATTAGTGCGACTTCTGTTGTTGCAGATTGGACGATAATTGACTTATATTGGGGTTGTACGATGTTACTTTTAGCAGAATGCATGCTGAACTTGATTCATCAGTCAGTCTATTTCTAACAGAGTCTTTGATGTTATTCATCTCTGAAAACAATGACTCGCAGGCATATGTTGATGAAAATACAGTTAGAATAGCGTGAGCCAGCTTCTTTAAACAATTAAATGTTTCTGGCAACGCATTCCAGGTTTCTAAAATTTTATTATTGGCATCTTTACTTATATTACTGGTCAATCTTTCTGTTTCAATTAACTCTAATTCTTTTCTCATGTCTATGAATTTTTGTATCCAAATTGAACTAGATTGGAAATCAATCAGCTGCATTTCAAAATCTTCAATTTCCAACCAATCGAACTGGGAGAAGTTCAGTGTATGAAAGGTCGTTACATCTGGGTACATAATAAACTTGACCGTTTCTGATAATTCTTTGAACGGAGAAAATCTTGTTGAAAATTCCTTAATTGAAGAATCAATCACAGAGATAAATTCCTCAGTAATATTTTCTGCATTTGTTGTCTCATGTATATCAGATTCATTGATATATTTTTTCAAGTATGGAAAATACTTGTAGTTTTTTGCGATAATATCGTTTCTGAAAACTTGCAGTTTAGCCTCAAAGGCGCGAATGAGATCGATCATGACGATTATTGTTTTGTTTGTGCCTTGAAGCTTCACATTTAACGTATTTAAGTGTTGGCATATGTCTGTAAAAAACATCAATTTTGAAAGCCACATGACGTCAAAAAGCTGTGGGTATTGTTCAATTTTTCCCTCATTTTGCAGAAACAGTCTGATTTCTTCCAAGCATTCAACAAATCTTTCAAGTACAGACCCACGACTCAGCCACCGAACATTATTATACATGAGTAAGCCATTATACACGGAGTTGACTTCATCCAACAAAGCGTCGAACTTTCGCTTGTTTAAAGCCTGAGCAGAGATGAGGTTGACTATTTTCGTAACTACTGCCATAACATTATCAAGAGATGTTAAACCGCTCTTAGCGCATAAGGCTTGTTGGTGAATGATGCAGTGGAATTCAAGAATCGAATGTCCTACTTCAGTTTGAAATAAACTTATGAAACCAATTTTTTTACCCACCATACTCGGAGCACCATCAGTTGTTACAGAAACAACTTTTTTTATATCAATTTCTTTTTCAACTATCGAATTTTTAACTGCCGTACAAATATCTGCGCCCTTTGTAGTTGTTGGTAACGATTTTATCGCAATTAATTCCTCCTTAATGACGTTTCCTACGCAGTATCGAGCAAAAACAGCTAAACGTGCAGATTTTGTGACGTCAGTGCTTTCGTCGAGGCATAGCGATATAAATGAAGCAGAGTGAATGTCAAGCTTTTGTTGCTCTGTAACTTCGAACGATTCTTTCCTTTATTGTGTTTCTGGACAAAGGAGTATCTTTGATGCGCTGAATTATCTTATTTTTATTCTCGAAATCAGCAAAAAGAGAAGGCGCGCATGCTAACCAGGCTTCCTTTAAAAACTCGCCTTCTTGAAAGGGTTTACTATGCCGAGCAATGACATTTGCAGCCGTGTAACTTGCCGCACTTGTATGACAATTTTTGCCAACAAATTTATTTATTGATGTTGAATGTTTGTTTCTGTCTTTCAAAGCACTCGCAATTAATTCCTTTTGCTCTGCTTCGCTTTTTTGACAAATTGATTTGTGATTTGTTTCAAAATGCCGTTTGACGGAAGATGTTCTACATACCATGGTGCCAGAACATAAAACACACACTGCTTTGTCACCTTTATTAATCACGCCGAATTTATCAGTCCACCAAGTCTGAAATTCTCTAGTATCCTTGCTATTTTGCACTTTTAGTTTCTTTGCTGAACTAGCCATATTAAATTACAGCAAATAATAACTTAAATAAACTTTATAGTTCACTTTCACAATGAAATTTAACTATTTTTTGCGTAAACAAACAATTTGCGCGGGCACTGCGCCTCGTTTGTTATTATTTACTCAAGTCAAGCCCCCGCGCTGCGTTCCCGCGCCCCGCGCCACCGCCGCATTCCCCGCGCTAGCATAGCAACTACGCCCCGCCTCCACCCCGCGCACCGGACCCGAACGCTCGCGCGCGTTTGCTTTTCAAAGATTCATAGGTATTATGCTACATCATAATCATAATTTATACTTTTTTCTTTAAACTCATAATCAGTGACGTGCCGAAATTATTTCGTCGCGTGCCAGCAATGGCACGCGTGCCATTGGTTCGCCATCCTTGTGCTAGAAGGTCCTCAGCTGACCGATTTCGGCGAAACCCATATTACGGTCACTAAGGAGGTCATTCTGTTCTAGGTATGCCATTAAGCGGAGCGGGCATTCAATATACGCTCCATAATCTTGCAGAGTATGGAGGTAATTGAGATTGGACGGTAATTGGCAGGGTCGGCGCGGCTGCCTTTTTTTGGAAGAGGCTGCGCGTTGGCCAGCTTCCAGGATTTTGGCACTATTCCAGTACTAAAGGAGAGGCGGAACAAGCGTGTCAATACAGGAGATAACTCAGGTGCACAAGCCCTTAGGACTATAGCTGGTATACAATCTGGTCCACTAGCTTTATTCACGTTTAGATACCGCAAGGTTTTAAGAAACTCCTTATTCGTTATACGAATCTCCGACATAGAGGTCCCGCAGTGAGGTAATTTTGGTGGAACGTTGTTCCCACTGTCCAGACGTGAATTGTAGGCAAAGAGAGACGCGAACAAGTCCGCTTTTTCCTTAGCCGTATGAGCCAGTGTGCCATTCGGTTTTACCGACGGAGGCAGTTTAGACCGACAGAAGTTTGTCTCGACCGCTTTGGCGAGAGACCAAAAAGCCCTAGTTCCGGATGGTCTGGCAGAGAGTTTTGCGCCAATATGTTTAATGCGATCGAGACTAGCTTTCCGTAATGCTTTTTTGTAGGACATGGCGGTCTGGTTGAAAGTTCTCTTCTTGGAGCTAATATCCGGAGCTTTGCGGTTGCGAGCGTCAACCCAGGATAGATAAGCTAAATGCTTGCGCTTTTCAGCTTGGGCGCATTCAGCGTTAAACCATGGGCGAGCTTTGCTACCGGTGGGAGCGTCAGAGAAGGGGATAAAGTACTCCATAGCTTGACGCAACACATCCGTTATCGCAACCGCCAAGGATAAGATGCAAAAAAGTGTCGCATCTCATCCCAATCAGCTGACTTATTCCGTCATATTCGCCGAACACCTTGGGACTCGTAATCAGGTGGAGAATATGACGATACAGATTTCACCAGACAGTGGTCAGATGTACCCAAAGGAGAAGTAACCCGTACTTCATATCTGTTTGGTTCGGTAGTCAGCAGAAGGTCCAAGCAATTTGCTGTGTGACCGTCTACATCGGGTACACTAGTCGCCACCTTTATCATCTGAGAAAGACCTAGCGTCAAAGCAAAATTCCACGCTTCTCTTCCAGCATGGTCGGTCTTTTGGTATGGGAACAGCCAGTCTTGGTGACAAGCGTTAAAGTCCCCCAGAAAGACCAATTGTGCAGTAGGATACCGATTTAGGGCCACGTCAGCAGCCTCACTAAGGTGATGAAATAATCGTGTTGTCTCCTGGTCACCGCTGTGCGATCGATAGATACAGGCATTAAGGATTTTATCAATACCTGTATCTACCATCACCCACTTACCATCAGGTGGACTGCGTGCTCGTTTGTCATCCTTATTCTATATTAAAAAAAAACGTAAAAGGCTATGGGTTTTCTTACGGTGTACTACTAATTATTAACATAGTGTATAGTAACATATGTAACAATTAAGTAATATTCATAATGAATAGGTATATATTTATGTTAGTACATACCTATTTATTATTTATTACTTTTAAAACGGAAACTGAAAAGAGATCGTATACTTTAAAACTGCACGCGCCTCCCTTTTGTTTACTTCGTTGTGTTGACTGCAGATCATGAGGTCCCGGGTTCGAATCCTGAGTGAGACAAAATACATCACTAATTGAGTTTTTCAATGAAGACATTCTCAGTAGCGGCCCGAAGTCAGAAAGTTGGCGGTGTTTCATCCACGTGCCTTGGAAAGCACATACAGCTGTTGGTCCTACGCTGGATCTCTCCTGTCGTGTCGTATTACCGTCCCATCGCACTGTAAAGATTGGGAGCATAGAGTGTGCACCTGTGCTTGCGCATACATAACATACATTTGGCACTATAATCCTGTCCTGCACAGATGGTTAATCTCCATTGAGCCTTGCCGCCGAGACCGATCTGGAGGACAATGTTATTATTATTACATAATATACAAAATAAAATGAAGGCGTGGGTAATTTTCAATGAGACGACCTCTACCTCCTCAACTCATGAATACGAACCCAGCGCATTCCGTAAGTGACCTCGGTCAAGAATGTTAAAGCTAAGTAAGGCTATGCAAAAGGAGCTTAACTTCGAGAAATGGATCTTAGTTCTTACATATAAGGCCTAAATTTGAATGAAAATTAAATTATTAATTAACAGCAAGCCTAGCACTTGTGAGGCTTAGAGGTTCGCACTTGTTTGATAAATTATTATATCGGGAATCTACTTAATTATACGTGATTATTATATATTATAAAAAAATAATATATATATATATATATATATATATATATATATATATATATATATATATATATATATATATATATATATATATCAATATATATAATATTTATTTTTATATATGATATACTTAATATACTTTTAATATATAAAAATTAATATTAGTTTGTTCGTATTGTTACGAGCTTGGGGTTCGAGACAATTAAAAACTGCCGAGTGAATTACCAAAATTGACACCTTAATTACAGAACACTAATTACAACTTAAAATCACACTAATAACAAAACATAATTGTACTACTGATTACTTTAGTTCGCAGTTGTATCGCTTCGAAGTATTCACTTGTATCGTCAACTCAACACTGTCTCCTTGTCGCTTTTTTTTGCGCCCAGAAGCAATGTAAAGGGCTACTCTCCGGGGAGCGGGGGAGTGAGGCGGTGAATGCTCTAAGCATACCAGGCAGCCGGCTGCGTGGATATCTGGGACTCACTTTGACACCATGACACCCACTAAACACCACCTGGAACTGGCTTTGGCCTGTGTGGCCTTTCTGCTAAATTGGTAGCGACCGCCTTTTGGGTCTATACCGGCCTTATAAAGGGCCTCAGATAGTACACACTGGTCCCGATTGACTAGGTGTCGATAGTTCTAGAAAGTTCTTCCATGGAAATTTTCAAAGCATTCCTTCCTAGTCCTAAGAGGTCACAGAGGCTAAGAGGTGTTATTAAATCGCTAAAGATTTACAAAATTTTTTTTAACTTTACATCAATATACCGTGCATATAAATATATTATATATTAAAAGATACTCGAATTAGATTTGTAGTTTAAGAATTTAAAAAATACCACAATATTACCTATTTAAATATATAAATAAACTAGCAGTTCCCCGCTACTTCGTCCGCGTGAATTTATTACGATATGATTTCATGGGTTTTAATTTTTTGCGCAAAACCCTAATTCTTTTTCTAAAATAAAAGTAGCCTAAGTTACTCCTTATAACATCAGCTATTTGCCAGTGAAAGTCCCGTCAAAATCAGTCAAGCTGCAAATAGACAGACAGCCATACTGAAAGACAGACAGACAAAAATTTCAAAAAAATGTGTTTGTACTTATGTACGCACGTAAGAAGTTATACCCCTTTAGCGTAACAAAACAAAAAAAAACTTGAGAGAATTACCCACTGAAGTAGTCGCTTTTAGCTGTCAGTGTACGAGTACACGCGCATCGTAACAACTTCATGGTGTCGTTTTTAGGTGTCGGTATGCGCGCGCATCGTAAAAATTCACTGTTATCGTTTGTCCCGAACGCCCCAAAAGAAGTATAACTTTAAAATGTTTTTTTCTTATTAGTATCATGTACGAGTATTTTCACATGCATATAGTAAAATAACTGTTATTTTGACATTACAAACAGACAGTACAATTTTATTTATTTGTATATGTATATACTTTCACATGAATTTAGTAAAAAAGCTGTTATTTTGACATTACAAAAGAAAGTAAGTACTATTTTATTTATTCGTATAGATGAACCCGAACAATTATTTATAGGTCATACAAACACTTGTTCCGTGTTTTCGAAGGTTTCGAAGCCACGACCGCGCAATCTGTAGCACCACAACTAAACGTTGATTTATTAGAATAGAGAGATATAACTAAACCCTACATATTGCATATTTTGTTGTCCTTTTCCATCTCAGTGTATTTTGGGTTCGATAAAACAGGAAATTCAATAAAGGCAAACGTTACTTTAAAGTTTAACATAATATATATTTCTATATCAAAGACATCATCTAGAGTTCTAGAGCCTATAGGTTAAAAATTAAATTTCATATTTCTAATACTAAATATAAAAAATGTTGACATAATATTAGTTTGCATATTAAGTAATCCTATGATAGAGTCCTATAGAGTCGCTAAAGCTATTTAGAGTTTACCTAAAAGAAAAGACTTAATTCCATAATTATTTGTGTAATCTCTACCTATATAGATATCGTAAACAAATGCAGAAACACGCTACTTTAATTTTAATATTTTTAAACTTATTTTTTAAAACTAAAGCTAAAGTTTATAAAGTATGCAAAAAACTAAACTCAAATAATTCATTAATTTTGTTGCATATTATGTATATCTATCTTTTACTGATATACGTACACATTTATAGCAAAAATTAAGCTGTGTTCTATATACATAAAAAATATGGCATAGTATTTTAATATTCGTAAACGTCACGTCTAGTGCCCTCTTACGATTAAAGATCTACATTACGAAAGCTGAT